GATTTTCTATCCAACGTTGCCAAAACGAATTGTGTGGCTCGAATGGTTCTTGAGAAACTTCGAAAAAAGCAGCGTCATGTTCAAGTGGACTTTGCAACTCAAAAAAAACCACGCAAATCTAAACTTCTTGAATTCAAGCATTTTTCAGAAAACTGCCAAGATTTCCTTATCGATGGTTCACTTTCTAAAAAGGCCATTTATTTCTGTATAGAATTATGTACAAATGAGCGTTCTTGCTCATTTTGCCTCCGAGAAATGAGCAAAAACGGGACGGAAAGATGGAATTTTGGCATAATCTTGCACCTAAGTGTGTGATATTCAAATTTCGCTTTCTGGGTCAAAAACTACTCGAATTTTCTCACTCATGTTTTTGCGACTGAATCGACTTTTCAATTCTCTATCCAACGATGCCCAAACGAATTGTGTGGCTCGAATGGTTCTTGAGAAACTTCGAAAAAAGCAGCGTCATGTTTAAGTGGATTTTGCAACTCAAAAAAAAACCACGCAAATCTAAAACTTCTTGAATTCAAGCATTTTTTGAGAAAACTGCAACATTTCCTTATCGATGGTTCACTTTCTAAAAAGGCCATTTAGTCCTCTTTGGAATGATGTAAAAACTGGCGTTCCTGCTCATTTTGCTTCCGAGAAACATGCAAAACGGGACGAAAAACATGAAATTTTGCAATAATCTTAGGCCACCCTTGCACAAAACGACGATAATTTTTCTAATTTCATAAACAACAGAAGACTGTATTTTTTCTACATAACCCCCTCCTGAATTTAACGCTGGATCCGCCGACTGCGACGTTTAAGAACAAAGTTAGTCAATAATATAAAAAATCAACTCCGTTTGCTAAGTTTTCCTCAAATGCAACAAACAAGAAACGATTAGGAGAAAAACCTTTGGTTCTACACCAGACAAAATCTAGTGTACAGAGTGTGTAGAGTTACCTGAATTTAGCAGAACTTCTTGCTCATCCATTGCCATTTTCGCAAATTAAAAAAATCAATACATGCGTAGCAGTCTCGATTATCTGAAACAAAACAAGCCTGATTGAGTACGAGATTAAATCACCCTTGCGAGGGATAAAAAATTAAGCGCCTAAAAACGCCGGGAGTCCACTTCAAAGCGGCTTAAAATTCAAAAGTTTTCTCTTTCTCTCCTTTCCCTATTGTCGAACTCACTTAGATTACTCAAAGGTTACTTACGTTTTCAAACTAAACTCCCGTTTTGCAAGGTTTAACAACCCAATTTGCCCTGTCAATCTCAAAAAAATATGAAGACTTTCATGAACATTGTCCACCAAAGTGACTTAAAAAGCAGCTTCAGTGACCAAAATATTTAACTTATAAATGGCAGAATCTAAGGCATTGACTATTAGAGTATTCGCATACAAAATATTTACAATAAAGTTCTAAAATTCTAGCTACAACATACTTTCAATATGATTGTCAAATTAGGAGCTGATCCTCCATGGTGCACAAAGCAATTTCTACATTTCACTGCCTTTCCGTTCACTAAAGCAATGAACAAGAAAACCGATTTAACTTTAGGAATCAAGTAGTTGTATGCATCTAACTGGATATCGATTATTTTGTATTTCGCAGAACACCTTCGGCGCTAGCGAGTTAGCCATGGAATAGGGTCACGTAAACTAGTTTATGTTAAAATTGATATTTTACGGCTCAGGTGGACATTAGAGGAAGGGTCGAGTGAACTTGCGTGGAAACTGACCAGAGACAATTACAATTATCGTTTAAACATTTTATGTTTCTATTTATTCTGTTCAGACTACTACTGTGGAGCCCTTTTCAAATGAGGACGCCTTCTTGATGTCGCTGGCACCTTTCTGAACGTTCTTTTCGAGTTTTCCCCACGCTGCAGTTTTCGGTTCATCACCACTCTCCAGTTTAGCCTGCATAATCACAACTGGCGTTTGTGCATTTGAATTGTCCAGTTGTTCTTGCAAGCAGCTTTGCAGGATATGCAGGAAAAACAGAAAGGACAACAACGTCAAAACACTCAGTCCAATGCTGCGCTTTTCTCGGTCTTTTTTGTAAAGGTAGCTCCTAAAAATCGCATTAATTTCTGATCGTCTTGCGTTGGAAAACTGCTGAAAATGCTCACCCAGTGGTTCCATAATGGTTAAACGTCGGTGGAAATTTGTAATGTTGGTGTCCATCCACAATGGGAATGTTTTCTGGAATTTTCATCGCATTTGGATGGAGACCGGAGATTCCATTGTCCAATTCGTAATTCACAGGCATGGTTTAAATTGAACACATCCACTTCTTAGCTGTTCAAAAGCCCCACTGATTTTCAGTGCTGTGCCTAAGCTCTGCTAATGATGCTGTTTCTTGAACAAGCCCCAATTATTCCTGTGTGGTTGTGTGACTTTAAGTGGAAATGATGAGACCATTTTGCGGTCTACTGCTGCTAACGGTTTTAAAAAATACCGTGCCATACCCAACTATCTAATTTTTGTAATCCCAAATTTTAGAAAATACATTGGTGCAGCTAAGCCGTTTTATCTGTCCGATGTCAAGAAACAAGTTTGGTTGCCAGGGCAACGCGCTTGAATTCGCGCTGCCATTGGCGTGAATGTGCCAGGGTCTTAAACAAAAGAAGCCTGGAAAGGGTCGTGGATTTCTTGCACCAAATGCCACAACGTTTTGAAAATGCATTAGTGGAGATCGATCGGCTGAAGCATTAGGATCAACTCCACTTAGGCTTATTTTCTTTTCCATGCCCCAAAGAGCCACTAGCAGGTTGCAAGAGCAAAAGGATCCGCATGAATGTTTAAACAGCACATTTGTCCTCAAACGGATGACATGATTTCATTTTTTATATAAGTTTTCGCCTGTATTATTAGAAGAATCATGGCGCGACTGCATGCAGTGGCCCGATTTCCATCGAGCCAAAAACATCCAGACCCTACTGTAATTTAAAAATGTAATATTTCTTTAAAAGCAAGGTGTAGCATGCAATAGGGCTATAAATCTTCAATTTTCCTCGAAATTTCTGCTCCAATTTGGTTTGCTAATTAATCTCTTGGGTGATTCTCTAAAACTGTGCAGCGCCCCTGCACATTCCCAAGTTTCTTATTAACAATTTCACATGCTCACTTTCCCCAGAATGGTCCTTGAATAGGAAACTTAATTTTCAATGTCAAAGCTGACTCATATAGCGAAATAGGCTTATAAATAGCAGCCCCACATAAGCCAATTATAATCCAATTATTTTAGCATAAACGTTCATTATACAGGGTGTCCCACCTGAAACCGCCGCGATCGATATCAGACAAATTGTAATTAGGAGAAATTTTAAAATTGGACGAGGGTTTCAAGAAGAGGCATAATATCAGTAGCGGAAAAATTGTTGGATAGTCTGCCGGTGAAAAATTCTTCTTATGAAAACTTTAGAGGCGATCGATAAAAATGAAAATTTGTCTATAAATCTCTTAGATGCAGTCAATTTCATTCATAGAGCTTGGCAAAAAGTTAGCCGAAAAACCATTGCAAATTGCTTTAAGCATGGGGGATT